GGGTCCTGGGCCAAAGGAAGCAGCTCTTCGTAATTGAGGAGATACGCTGCCCGTCGAGCTGCAACTGACGACCCAATCACCAGCAGGGCTGCGAGAGTGACGCCACACTGGCAAGTGGTTCGGCCGACATGTCCGTTGCATGCTGCATGTTGAAGCCCTTCCCAAAGCGTGCTCGTCGCTTCGATCTAGAGGGCTCGCGATATATTGGCAGGCACATTTCATGCGCAGGTTAGGTAGGGCGTTTCGTAACGGCGCGGCCAATTGGAGGCGCAAGCGTACGCCATCCAACCGGCACAGGGGCGCGAATGGGAGCAAGGCGTTTCGCCTCAGCGTCCCACGTATCTCGAAAAAGGCCGTGGAGCATGGAGGTGCGGGACGGGAAGTCCACGGGTCAACGTCGGCTAGAAGCAGCCGGAGAAGCAACTTTGAAGCACTTTGAAGCACCTTTGAGCCTCAGGCATGCGCAAGTCGTGCTCACTTGACGGCGCATCTTGGCTCCCGTCGGCGGTGAGAGTCAGGGCCGTGCATGAGCAGCCAAACCAAAGGGCCATCCACAGCCCTTTTCGGCCACGGTAGATACTAATGAGCTGCGGAGCTGTGCTCCGTAATGTGCTTGGTCTTGAAACTACGCGCTCTACAGCAGCCAATGGCTCCGTGGCCAGATACGGACCAGCTGCAAGTCCCCTTAATATTGGCGCATGCATGTACTCGCAGTACTGCCGTTGCGATGGTAAGGGACCTGCCGTAGCTCCCTCGACGCATCGATGCCGGTTTGATACAATGACTTGGTAAATTGACTAATTTCTATGCGTGCGTTGCTGCGATTCGTACTGACACCTACAACCCGGCCGTGTAGCGTCTGTATCTGTATCTGGCAAGATGGATAGCTCTTGCACTCCGCACTTGTGTCCCATACACAGCTTATGCACCTTTATCTCAGAAAACACAAGCCGTCGTATACCAAAGGCGGACAGTGTGCTCCTCCTCCGCACATGTCTTTGAATGTTTCCTAAGCAGAAATCGAGGCTTTGGATAGAGAGACATCATCTCAAATTGATGAGACATGTGTTCTTGCTCGTTCCCGGTCAACGCCAAGGCTGAAATGTCTTATTACTTTTATGTGTAAGCTTAAAAATAGGAGGGCCAGGCTAGGCCAGGCTGTGTGAACCAATTCCTTCAGTCGTCTTAGACATGACTGACTTTTTGCGTGTTCAATTGCTCCCCGCGGATTGGCCAAGACAGCAAATTTCGTTGAGACAAAGCCAAGAGCAAATTAATCACTTTTTTTTTTTTTAAACCAAGCTAGATTACAAGCTCGTAGATGGTAGTGGGGGTTCCTCAAGCTTGGAGATTTGATGGTTGGAGAAACACCGGACACCAGCGTTAGCGGCCTCGTCTCTCCTCGGGCTGTTTTATTATTTCGTGCCCCTAGGGGTGCAGCGATCGTGCAAGACAAGAAAAATCCGGCGAGGTACACAGTGTCTCGTCAATCAGTGGCAGACTTTTTGGTTCTAAGCCAGCCGCTAGCTTTCTGGTCCGACTGCTTTGTCGTTGAAAATCCGTTCTAGCAATTTTTTTTTCTCGCATTCTCGCTAGTAAAACGATCGCTCCGATAATGGGGGGGCCCCAGCCCACCGACGACAACCGTCCTCTTAGCGGCTAGGCGGGCTCTAATAGAGACGAAGAAAAAAAAACAAAAGTTTCTCAAGAAGGAGGGGAGCGAGGAAATAATTGGCGCATGGGGACGGACGTTGGGGTTGGGGAAATTTTCCTTTTGACGACGGAGCTTCAAAAATTTTCCTTTCTTGGTGTCCACCTTGCAAGGTGAGGCTGCATGCTTGGCTGCTCAGCTTGCTTCCCGTTTCGTAAATACAGTTTGGCTCATAAGCGCGTATACAGACTTTCCGTATATGCATGAATTATTGATGTCTCGCGCCCGAGGCCAGAGAAAGGCCCTCGTGTAAAGAAAAGGGGCTCGTATGAATCCCAAGTCAAGTTCGTTCTGTGCTTCTTTGAGACAAATGTTTATCTGAGACGTGTCTACCTATCCTCAAGTCTAGGTCTCTTGGCTTCGACTCGTGAGCAATGGCAACTTGACGCGAAGTCACACTCTTCTCTTGGCGCTTGTAAACCACATACATGGAGGCGTGCTACCTTGCACAGATGAGTTAGTTGACATACCGCGCTGTCGCACATGAGCTCTGGGCATTTCTGGCGCGGCACAGCAGCAAAGTGGCAGCGATAACGGAGGAAAAGGGAGAGAGTTTGGCCGGAAAAGTCAAAATTGCTCTTGGTGTGCTGCCACCCCTTGAAGCCTTCCGCAGCCCATTCCGAGTAAAAATCTTATACCGCATAGGGGCCGAATTATGCTTCCCGAGCGCTGCGAAAGAAAGAAAAAAAAAACAAGGCTAAGAAGATATGGCCACACAGAATTCTAGGCCTTTCGCAGCTGCTTGTGGCGCCATGCAGAAGCTACCCATTCCTCGGAGTCTCTGGATAACATGGCGTTTGGACCCCTCCAGACCAGAGTTGGCGGAACAAAATGAACTGACATTTAAAGGTGAGAAATGTCACTGGAGACAGAGTTACTGCTACTATGCCGCATTCCCATTCCTGCAGTGTAAGTGGTGTATATCCATCCCGGAGCTTGCTCTGCGTGTGGTTTCCTCTGGCATGTATAACGTACTATAGATGAGCCATCAGTTTGATACGGCCGTTGACGTTATCTTCATCGAATGTTGACACAACGTAAAGCAGCAAGTAATCTCGATGGAAGCAGTCTCATACCAGTTCAGTCATGCAATTACTTGTGCTATGGAGCTTCCAACCTGACTTGCTCGGACTCAATTCTTTACCATTATTCTTACTCGATATATTCACGCCACTTCGTGAGTGTTATAGGTTACGTGATTGAAATGAGGCTCTTCAGGAAAATAGTCTCCCGGGTTGGTAATCCTCTCTACATATATTGAATGGCTATGTAGTTCCGCTCTCATTCATCAAGCCCATCCATTTACTTGAGTTGCTTTTCATAGTCACACACACAGAATAAATCATCAGGTTCACCAGCTTCATAAAGACCTTTGTTACTCTGTAGAACTTTACTCTGGCTGCTACCAGTATATTCATCATACTATAAGCCACTAAATAATCGATATTTAGTCTCTATCACGGGTTGAGATGATGAAATAACGTAGCTGGCAGTCAATATATCCAAATATGTCCAAGTCGTATAACATTGAAGTTACACATGAGGCTCACTAGAATGACAGTTCGCGAACTTTCAGTCACACGCCTCAATTAATTTACTTATCCAGACTACTGGATTATCCTTGTAGGCACAATACAAACCAAGTCTTCTCATAATTCGTTGAAAACAATAAATCAGCAATGTCTTGCCGACAAACAGCTCTTTGTGTAGAGTAGAGTCTTATTTCTTCAAGCTCAATGGTGTAAGCAGTAACCCTCCATCGCTCTCAGGCACAACTTTGACAAATATCAAGGTAGACTGCACCTTGCAAACTTGCATTACCAGAGACATCATTCATTTATTGCAATTTGGAAAATTCCATGCCTTTTCGCAGTCTTGCAGCCTTTGAATCAAAAATTCAGCCCGTCGAGCTTCGAGTCGTAGCAGGATATCGTCATATGGATCAAATCACGTGCTACTTCACGTGTTGCGGCAACGATTTTCCCGCTAGCCGAATTCATGACTGCAGTCCGGTAAAGATTCGTGCCAGCGGCCTCAATTGAGCTCAACACAAGTAACGACTCAATCGTCCTCACAGTCACCATGAACTCCCTCCGTGTTGCCCGCGTGGCTCTCCGAGCTCGCCCTTCAGCCATGCGAGTGGCCTTCCAGCGGAGAGGATACGCCGAGGCCGTCCCCGACAAGGTGAGGGATGTTCCGGAGCCTCGAATTCAAGAGGCGTGCAATTAATATATCGCTAACTGAAATTTTATTAGATCAAGCTGAGCTTGGCCCTGCCTCACCAGGTATGAATACTGCGCCCCGAGAATTCGAAGTCTTACTGGAAATGCGAACCGATTGTGCTGGAGTGGAGGATATGCGACGCTCGACAGATGTTCCCGCGATGCTAATTACCGCAATGCTCTGCAGTCCATCTACAAGTCCCAGGATGTCGTCCAGGTCAACATCCCCGCCGAGTCCGGTGATATGGGTGTCCTCGCCAACCACGTCCCTTCCATCGAGCAGCTCAAGCCCGGCTTGGTCGAGGTTGTTGAGGAGAGCGGCGCCGCCAAGCAGTTCTTCGGTGCGTTGATATAACCCCTCCGAATCTGCGACTGTACCACCGATAGCAGGACTGACAATGAAACGACCATATAGTGTCCGGTGGCTTTGCCTCTGTTCAGCCCAACTCCATCCTGAGCATCAACTCCCCCGAGGCTTACCCCCTGGAGGACTTCAGCGCTGACGCTATCCGTGCTGCTATCGCCGAGGCCCAGAAGGTTGCCAGCGGCAATGGAAGCGAGCAGGATATCGCCGAGGCCAAGATTGAACTGGAGGTGCGTCAAGATACGACATGGCTCTACTCGCGAAACAAACAAGCGCTAACATGCTATCGATAGGTTCTCGAGACCCTTGCCGCCCATGTCAAATAAACGATTGTAGAAATATAAATTCCTGTACAACTTTTCTACCTGTCTTTAGCGCAGAGCCGAAACAATTGATTCCAGTTGCGGTGCTGTTACATATAAAAAGTTGCATCTCTGCTGCTTTTAGCAGAGTCTCGGAAAATATGCGTTGCTGTATGTAGGCGCGGTTCCTAGACATAATGAACTGAAATCATACCCCTCCTTCCTCCATATCTCTGTAGGACCAATCATCCTTTCCGTTTTGGCTTGATGGCAAGGCAACTTCTCCCTTGCTTGTTTTGAACGCTTCTTCTTTTGAGAATTGTTTCTGGTGTTTTCTTCCTAACAATACCAGTTCATTATATTTTCTTAGCTCAAGTGACATTACTTGTTGAACCAGTATCATGGCTTACAACTTCGTGAATGATCCCATGACTCCTTCCAAGGATCCAATATCGTTGGATGGAGCACCGCCGGATAATCTTGTGCCCTCGGGATATGTCGAGTCTCGTATACGGCAACTCAACATCATGTCAAGCAAAGTTCGACCCAAGGTTCAGAATTCGCTACATGTCGCAAATGTGCGCGAAGGCGAAGAAGTTTGCAGCCCGGCTTGCCAGGGCACACGGCTTGAAGTCACCGCTTCACCCCCTGTTGGACATTCGTATCCGGGCTTGAGAATTAATGACAATCACAGCGATGACATTGGAGTTGCTTGGGAAGCGTCATCGATAAGCGCTCACATGTACAATGTCAAGCCAAGTTTGAGGGCATCAAGATCGACCAATTCTATAGGTTTACGGAGCCCAACTCGGGGCCCTAGCAGATTCCGGGGCTCACACAGGTCGAATAAGTCTGCTTCCAACCGAGTTGACAGTTCGAATTTGGATTAGAAGTCTTCTGGACGTTTCCAGGCCAACTCGCGAGCATCACTTTCGACTATTCAGACTGCACAGCCGGCTCTAGGTAACTCCACAGAAGAACAAGAAGACGCGCTGGATATGTTTGACACATTTGGGGTCTCACGGCCTGAAGGCTGGTTGCCAGATGAACGGGAACAACAACAGATTTCGCGAATGAAGACTGTCCAAGTATGTCATTCTTGTGGTAGCTTCTTGCATTCACGGTCACGGTGCGCAAGATGCGGACATGAATTTTGTTTCAAGTGTAAAACCGAGCTGGTGAGTGCCTTGACTACGAACACTTCAGCAGATCGCATATATACGCAAGAGCAATGGAAATCGGAACTAGGGGGTTGGCGCCAAGGGGTAACTCACAGCCAAAGCCTTGGGAATTTAGCTGAGTCGAGCAGGGAAGGCAGAAGTAGGCGACACACAGGCTCAATTCGCAAAATCAAGGCTAATTTTGTCATGTAGGGAGCCATCGACTGGCTCAATCAAAGAGCCGCAACCGAATCACTGGCGAATTCAAAGAAGGTCAAGCGGAACGCAGTCAGATAGAAAGACAAGCACGCCAGCAATTTCGACATGAACGCCGACAGCGCCTAGAGAAATCCTATAGCGACTCGAATAATCCTGAACAACCCTCTGGCTGCCCAACTTGCCATACAAGTAGCGATCCTGCGAGACATAGCATCTGCTGCCTTGCTCGCCAATCTTCATCGAGGCGGCATATGGATGATCGACCTAATATGGGAAAAGATGAGGCGATGTACGAGAGTAGCTCGAATAATTCCTTCAAGTCCATTTACAGGCAAAACGAAGCTGAAATGGATGTTATTCCGGCCACTTCACTCTCATCTGATTATAAGACCGCGGACCCTTGCTTGTCTCAGCAACCGGAGTATCAAGTTTGGTCTAGCGGAAGAGCAGGTGAGTATGGGCCAAACATTGATATAAAGACATTTGAGATGGACGAGACTAATTAATGCGGATATATATAAGACGGAGCTGCATCGTCCTCACAAAGATTGTATACCCATGATCTGCGGGCTGACAATACCTCACGAACTTCGCCTCGCCAAAGAGCTCACGATCTTGCCGACGATGTCACTATAAATGCTCAAAGAGCTCTTTATAACCCACACAGCATTGATGAAGATATTTTTTGGACTAGTGCTCAAGGTCCACGCACTGTTCAGCATGCTGTGATGTCTAGGAACGGTGGGAAAAGTGCTTCAAAGTTTAGCTTAGAAGGAGCTGAGCCTGAGAATCTGGATTCAGAAATGTAGGGGGTTCACCACCAGGCAAGGCTGCCACGGCTTCACAGCGTACACCACTATCTCGAGAGAATAGCAGTACATCAGGGCGCCAGCATGAGTCCAAGTATGAGCCGATAGAGAACGTTGAAGCAACCCAGTTGCTGCAAAAACATACAAACTCGCCAACCAGAAAAGCCATTGGCGTAAGCCCAAAAACGCCAGGAAGAGAAGTTGGAGCGACGGTTGAACCTGAAGGTTCGCTCAGGAGGGTCGTCGTCGTCAATTCAAAGAGCCCCAAACCAAACATCGAATCTTCTGACATCTCAACCTGGAAACAACAATTGAGAAAAGTTGGTGACTCGAGGAGCAACTCTCCAAAGAAGCCATTCTCACCATTAGCTGCCGGGCCTCAATTACACTCTTCCCAGTCTCCAACTGGATTTCTTCAAATTGAAGAAACAGTCGCCAGGTCAACAAGACAATATGAGGCAGAAACCAAAGAGCAAACATCTAGGGCACAGAAGCAGAGGGAATCTATAAACGATGGCATGGAGAGCATTCTGACAGAAAATGATAATACAGAGCCAAATATCACCCTTGCAGCCCCCGATGATGATTCCGAAATGCCTTCTAGTCACCACATCTGTGAGTGGCGCTCACGGTATCTGGGGCTAAGTGCTGCGTTTGATAAGCTGCAAAGTGAGCTAGATATCGCGCTACAACAACAAGCAACTGCAGATACTGTTGGACAAGAACCGGTGACGGCTTCACATCAAAACCGATACAATGACTACGACATCGAGGGTTTGACTATCATCGTACACAGAAGAAGCAAGGAGGATTTGGTCCTCAATACAGATTTGAGAGAGGAGGAATTCAGCGATATTGGAGAGTAGCTGGCGAAGCTTCTTCACTGGCTGGAAAGGTAAACAGTGGGGTCTATGTCATGTCTAAGGTGCCTTATATGAAAGTATTCGTTACCTGTATCACGATGAATCGCTTTGAACGATTATTTGGTAGTCCAATGTCTGAATTATAGGCAGTCGATAAGTCAGAAAATAATCAATATCAACAATCCTTGACGAAAGAAGGCTTTACAGCATAAAAGTGAAGATTACGATACTATTCCAAACCCCATGAGCTACTTTTCGTCGTCCAGAGCAGAAGTAAAATGAGTTGAACATGACGAAGCCAACAGCTCTCTGTCACTCTCCCGCTGTCTCACGCCAAGCGGCAGGTATTGCCACTATTGACATTGATACGCGACTAGACCGACGCTGCCTAACGTGCTAGACGGCCTACGTAGTGTCATTCGCTACACTAGATATTGGATATCACTCTTTTCAGGGGCAGGGTCCTACAAAACACAAGACTCTCACGTCTATTGGACAAGCTAAAAGGGGGGCGTGTATCTACGTCTGAGTCAACGCGAGTGTAACGACGGTACGGCAAAGGAAGCAACAAGGACTGGGCTTTGTTTGAGAAACTCGTTGTTTGACTGGACGACTATACGCAAGAGCAGATAAACCTGGAGTCTCATTGTCGATCTTGGGGAGAGTGAGTACCCAGGTAGGTAGTTTTGGTTCCCACCTGATTCTCACGTCCTGTCATTTCCTCATCCGACCTCACCGCACTGATCATATGCCTACCTACCTACATACCTACTTCTGCTACTGGCCAACTAATGACTGTGCTAACAAGGCAGGGAAAAAAGATTTGTTGTCATATGCATGTTTGCGTGGTCTAGTCTACCTATTCGTCCAATGTTCGAATCACATGCCTCTTTTTCTTTTCTCTTTTTTTTTTTTCTTTCTTGTTATTAGTATTACCCCATTGTTCGCTGTCACAGCATATGTAGGTAGGTATCTTTGATAAGACAAGTGAAGCATGCATGAATGAATGGAAAAAAAAAAGATACACACCCCCCCGTGTTTTTCACTCCATCAAAACGGAAAAAAAACCACCCCCAATGGACAACAAACTTTTGCAAAGTACTTTTTCTAACCCAGCCCCCCTTGTTTTTTTTTTTTTTTTTTTTTTCTTCTTGATACTCCCCCCCCTTGTCGCCCTCCCGTGCGAGTGTGTGTGTGTGTTGTACAGTAGGTGCTGTTTAGTTTGAAAAGGTGTATATCTAGATGGCGGCAGCATGAAGATGATCCTCCATGGGGTCTTTCTTTTTTTTGTCCTGTCCCTTCCTCTGCCGCGTTTACTAAAATGCACTTGGTACCAAATATGGGTTGATTCGACTTCGTTGGCAGCCCAGGGGGGGGAGAGACCTCCTCCCCCCCCCCTCAAAATCCCTTTTTTTCCCCATCTCCCCCCCCCTTCATATCCTCGTGATGGATGGACCGGGTCCCTTTGGCTCCAAAGTCTCGTGGCAATCCGAATAAGCGCCAAAAGGGAAACCGTGCTAATGCCAAAATGCCAGAATGCCAAATACTATACTAGTTTTTGCTGCTGCTGCTGCTGCTATTCCCAGCGTGGCTTTGCGTCAGAAGCGGGCATCTCTGCAGTAGACAGACGTACCATACATATCTACATGCCAACTACCTACTTACTATCCGTACGTATGATGTAGGTATACATACAGACCATAGAATAGGCATCATGTACTGCATACTAGGTGCTACGTGCTCATACCATGAACAAAGAATGCCAACATGTCAATGGGGGGTTACGCAACTGCAACGAATCCACACGCATGGAGATTTTACTATGCAAACTTGTTGATGCTGCAAAAAAGTCCTCAGTCTGCTGGCCAAGCCCGCTCTCATCTTTGATGACGCCGCGCTTAGTTTTTTTTTTTTCCCCTACACACCCGCTGGCAATGCTACTCTAAACTTGATACACGTGGGAATGGCCTTATTCTGCTGCTGTCCTATCCTTTTGAGGGCAGCTGGGGCTTCGGCAAGGCCGCGGTTAGCTAACCCGAGGGTCAGAAAAAAAAACACACACATGTGCCTACATAGAATGAGGATGCTACTACAGTATTACTATCTACTACGGGGCTGTGCGTGAGAGAAGAATGGCTATACTTTGCGTTATATCGGTGTAAATTGGACCAAACAAAAGGCCGTAGCAGACGAAGTAAAAGGAGCGGTCTACAAAAACACGAAAGAGAAGAAGAGAAAGGAAAAGGAAAACAAGGTCTTGACGGCATATCTTTGGGCAAAAGTATGCTTTGTGTAGAGCTGCAACGCAATAGTAGACCAAAAAAAAAAAAGAAGAAAAAAAAAAGAGCGTTGCTATTCTTAGATGCTTGTGCTCTTCTCACCTATACAACGGCTGCTAGGGGTGAAAGACGGAGCAGCGGGGAAGAGAGAAACCAAAAGTGGGAAATGTCGAAACAGCACGGCCGCAACAATGATTCCAGTGCAGGCATCAATCGGATCTGCGAGGACGTCTTCATGAGGCCATCGTGAATTTGAGCCTCCCCTCCTCCCAATCCACCCTCGCAGCCTCTTCTTTCGTTTTTTTTTTTTTTCACCGACACGTTCAAAAAGAGACGAGGACGATGGGGCAAGTTGGTTAGGGGAGCCCGGTCAGCTCTGCCAACACACCCATGTCAGCCCAACAGCGGGACAGCCCTTTTCAGGTTGCCAGCACGCCGGGTCCATTCGTCTGCCTCGCAGGATCAGCAGGGTTCGGCCATGGGCATCATGGACAGGGTGGGGAGCTGATAGTACTGCAGCACTGTAGTAGCAGTAGTAGGTACCAAGTATGTACAGTAGCAAGTATGTACGAGCATGTAGGATACCTGGTCCGAGTTGAGTTGACAGCTCGAAGACGCAGAAAAAGGAGGGAGGTCTGAGGTGGCAGGCGTTGACAGGATGCAGTTGCTATCAATGGCGCTCTGTGATGTGAGCGGGCATGAGGCCAAGCCCACAATGGAGACGGGCATGCCGCTTCGGCGTGGCAGGCATGGCAGGCATGGCATAGCAGTGGCATGAATGGAACCAGGTGTCGAGGCTGTCCACAGACACTCTGTACTTGTATATACCGGTACTCCCTGCGTTCCTCTAGATCTGGGCTCGCATGCGTCTCGCCGTTGAAGACAAAGCGTGCAGCGCCGATGATGGAGAGCCACGGCCGGCCACTGTGATCAGCACGCCCGGCACCATGTTTGCTGCGCCTGTGGGGTTGCTTGCGCACGAAAAAGCAGAAGGCTGGGGCCTCGATGAGCACGTTGACGGGTGAGTGACGGCGGATGAATGGACGCCAACGAAGCAGTCCAGCGTCCAGCGTAGCAGCGCCGGCAGGTATCTGTGACTTGGCCGGGCAAGGCCCTCTACCTGCATGAAGGCAGACCGCGTGCCTCGTGTGACTGTAGGTATTCCAGCAAAGTAGGTAGTATTCCATCCCTCTGTCACAGGCATCTGGAACGGGGTTTGCTGCGCGACAAAGTACGTACAGCACGCCCTGCGTCTACCTCAGGTCAGCATCTCGTGGCTTTTGCCCAGCACTTTTGATCGTTTTTTTTTTTTTTTGGTGTAATCGTCCCAATTCAATCAAATCTCCTTGCTCTTGCTCTTCTTGTCCTCCTTCTTCCTTTCTTGAGAATGAATGCATTGCCCATAAAGACAAGAGGACAAACAAGTCAATAGGCGGCCCGCTAATGCTTTCGTGCTGTTGCAAAGCCCAAAGGGGGTTTAGAAGAGGTTGGGAACCCCTGGTCCCGGCTCTACTTTTTTTTTCTTTTCGTTGTTCGCTTTCTCGGTTTTGCTGTCTTGACCGGGGGGAGTTGCAAAAAAATCACCCGGAAGAAAGCGGTGTAGGAAGCGGCAGTAACCCATCCGCAGCGTCTAAAATGTTTTTGTCAATGGTTGCATGCAGTAGTAACCCCAAATAAGGACGGCAGATAACCCAACGAGAGACAACACTATCGTAGCTCTCAACACCAAGCAATTGGTCCCAGACTGGCCCATGACAAGGTCTCCAGAAGGCTGAGAAGGCTGAAAATCACAGCATCACAGCATCACACACGCTCTCCCCTCCTCTCTCCCCCCCTCCCCCTCTGCATCACTTACTTGTACCTACTCCATCAATCCATCCATCCACTCCTCTCTTCAAGGCAGAGACAGCACGGCAAGCGACCATCTTGACCGCATCAATGCTAGCCGAGCTTCGTTGTCTCTTCTCCCCCCCTTGCACCAACGCCCGCTCTCGCGGCCCAGAAATCCCGTCGCAAGTCTTGGCTCTGATATCCAGATCGAGATGCCTGCAGCACGCACTTGCTTTAGTCCATGTATCGTATGCATAACGATAGCGCCGCACGTTTTTGCCTTTGCGTCGCCCCTTGTTCCTTGTTTCTTCTCTCCCTCTGCGTGCCGTTTCGTGCTTGTACCACTAGTAGTTCCTGCAGGCCAAGTGGCCCTGTGTGTGCGTTTGCATTTGCCTGGGAGAGAACTGCAGCCGCATGCTACGCTGGTTGCGCTAGGTGGCCTCAGGGCGCCGACAGACGCCCCGGTCGTGCTCCAACTTGCAGCATAGCGGTGTTTGGGGGCCGTTTATCGGCTATGCCTGTGCTGTCTGGCACAAGTACTAGTCGCTCGTCCTTGTAGACTGACTGCAGGCCTTGGAGCTTTCGTGGTTTCGAGAATACGCTTCCCCTGTCTCCCTCCTGGCCATGGGCGATGAGGCTAGAGCCGCCCAATTCGTCTCCACTTTGTTCTTTTGTTCTTCTCATGACTCTCCAGCGACAGCCTCTCCATAATGGCGGCTCATCTAGTGGGCTGCTAGTACTTGTTACCAGAGCTCCGTCGCAGCTGGGCAGATGCCCTGGTCCATAGCGACGTGACCGAACCGCCCCGAGCGTGCGGGGCCGGAAATCCGGAGACCGGGGCCGGGGGTCGTAGCAGGCGGTGAGGCGGAACCAGGGGGTTCGAATGGGGGCCGCTTCAAGTCGGGTCTGCAAGTTGGGCTGGCGATGAAGCCAAGGCTTGAACCACGGATAGCAGCGGTGAGCAATGGCTCTCTTACTGTACTCTCCATCTCCCTCCTCCTTCAAAGACTGTTTCCTAGCAAGAGCATCGTATGATGGCTAGGGATGAGCCAGGCTTTGCATTGACCAGGAACCTGCCAGCTTCCTATACCGCTGACCGGTTCTTGAGCTTTGACGTTTGGACGGATCCTACTCACACACTCCTAGGATACAAGTAAGTCTATCCATGTCAAGCTCAAGCCACCAGATCGATCCGCAGCGAAGAGATGGAGGATTTTGTGGGCTTGATGTGCCATTAGCATGTAGACTAGTAGTTTGTCATATTATCATATCAGCAAATCTCTATTGTTATCACCCTCCATGACGCAGAGAGAGCAGAGGTGATTCATTGAAAGCGAATGCTTCGAAGCTGCGGCCAGTCATATGACCATGTCAGGCGTATAGCATCCTTGGTGAATCTGTTTCTCAATTGACCCCTTCTTTCGTCAATTGTGGGTGGGCGGCACATCTATTGACATCACATCACAGAGTGCCTACCTGTCCGTATATGGTGTTTGCATCTTGGGTTTCCTTTGCAGGCGGTCTGTCTCAGGCCTGCATACTTGGCGTCCAGTAGGCGGGCCCAACTCCCACTCGAGAGTACTTGTATTAGCTTCCTCTTGTCTGTTTGCTTGCTTCCATGGAACAAACAGGGGGCATGGAAATCTCGTAGTGTTCATAGTTGAAAATGAGGCATGTCTGAAGTTGTATTTTCGAAAAAGATTTGTTCGACTCTGGGCCGTTTAGACCAAGTTGAACAGCTCCATTCGCGCAAAAGGGTCTATGTAGTAGGTATCAGGCGTCTGTATTCTCCGCTTGCCAGGCTCCTCTCGCTCGTAACCAACGCGATGTCGGCGTTAAAGCTGCAGTTGTCAGGGCAAATGCTTGCTGCTGCTGGTGTCCTTTGGCTATAACCTGAACTTGAAAAGATCCAATCCAGTGGTCCCCACATCAACCTTAAAGATACTACCGCCATACTTCTTACTTGGATCATCGCCCTCGTCGTCCGCTGCTGAAGTGATGACTAGCTCTGTACCCACAAACTGCACACAGGAGATATGCCTCGTCGGCAAAGTCACGCTTCCAATAACCTTACCTTCGGGGTTAATCTTGAGCACCGTGCTCTCTCCCCAAATGGCATGCCACACGTTGCCATCCACGTCAACGCGGAAGCCATCAGGCTCTCCTGGCCCTTCATGCTTGTACCACAGGCGTTTGTTGCTGACAGCTCCAGTCTCGAGAGAGTAGTCAAATGCAAACACCTCTCGAGATGTGGAGTGCGTAAAGTACATGGTTTTGTTATCTGGTGACCATCCAATCCCATTGGGAATCCTCAAGCCCGTCAGCACATCCTCTTTAGACTTGGACGAGTCAAAGCGCGCAAGAAATCCTATCAAAGACCATTGACGTCAGCATGGAATAGCTAATCACAAGAGTGTGAGCATAAAATAGACCAGTCAAAGGCCGCCATACCTTCGGGCTGGGGCTCTCCATGCTCAAAATCAGTCATGGTTCCCAGCCACAGCTTTCCATGGGGGTCTACCGCTCCATCGTTGGATCGTATACGCCCGTTGTTCTCTTCATTAAATTGCACAAGCATTGCGTACGTCCCAGCCTGGCGGTCCAGCACAGCGACTCCATGTTTGACACCGATCAGGATACGGTCCTGAGGGTCCACTCCCTCAATGTCGGCTGTAACGGTTGGGCGCGTATCCAGCTGAATGACTTTCAGAGAGGAACCATCCCCGTTATCAGCGGCGGATACAGTAAGTATCTGACTCTTTTTTATGTCAACAAGGCGCACTGAGTTCGTCTCCTTCTCGTAAAACGGCCCCTCCCCAAGTGCGCATTTTAGCTCAAGCCAAGGCTTGTCCACTTTCCATTGCTGTAAGCCGGGGGCTGCCATTGTTCCGTCACGCGGCCAGAAGACGTTGGAGCTTTGATGTTTTCCAGGATATAGTTGGAAAAGTTGTATCCAGATATGATTGAAGATGTTATATCTGTTTGCTCGAGCGATTCCGGAGTATCTCTGAGGAGCAAATGGCGGGGTAGGAGTTAATGTGGAGTTTTACGGAGTAATTCCCGGTAGGATAGAATGGCCCCCTATACAACGAGCAATATTGGCCAAGCTACCCGGTGATGTCGGGATAATCAAGTCTGTCAGTTGAAGCAGAGCTAATTCGCCATTTATAAAAAATGACATGCTGCAGTAGCTATACTTGAGACTACCCTGATTGCTTTTGTCTGATTGTTGTGCCCTTTCTCTGCAGAGGGAGAGTCTGGTGAGCTGAGCCATCTCAACATCACTCATTTTGGGTCAGTACATTCTTCATCATGGTGCCCATGATGAAGGGCACCATGATGAAACGATCCGAGTTATTCACCAAACATGTAGGCACAAAAACAACTCCCCTTTGATAGGTTTCTTCCGCCCTTTGTAGCATATTCACATGCTAGGGTTACTGTTGTGTCATCACACCAAGCAGCGTACACCACCGCAAGCATAAACATGCGCAAGCTGCCAAGAGAGATTTACCCGACATGACGAATCACGTCGCCAGCGGCTACCGTCAGTCAAGTTTCACGTGGCCGCTGGCCGATGCGGATAAGCGCTGGCGATTATGATGGCTCAAATTGCATCTCGTTAAAACAGCTTACTCCGAACCTGTCACGGTTGTAGGTGGTACCCAGAACCAACCGGGCTCGGAACTCGTAAACCGCTAGATGCTTGCATGTAGTACCCGGGCTGGGACCTTGGCCCCTGCTATGCCACATCCCGTGCAGGTAGGTATTCTGCCAACAGCAATTGCATCCGATGTGGGAGTGATGGATGATCCATGTAGGTGATGGGCATACTAGGTAGTATGCGTGCTGGTATGGAAAGAGCAATGTCGCACCAGAGAAGCAGCCCGTGATGCTAGGAACGGTGAGAATAGTGATATGTCCCAGAGCCGACTTGTGCGCCCCGCCTGCGTCGATTGATCCTTTTGGTCCGATGAAATACGCTTCGCTTCAACCACGGGCAGCCATTGAAGCCCGAAACTAGCATCATTCATGTTTCCTCCCGCCCATGCACCTGCATCTGAGCGAGAGGAATACGCAGCTCGAAGTCGGGCATCGGCTTCTTCTGGCCTGCTGTTGACCACCCAGTGATGCCGACGACAACAAGCCCACCGCTAATAGTCGGCTGCCACGTCTGGCATGTTGTGGGGCTGAGATGTGCAGCCAACAATCACCACCACCCTCTTCGGCTTGTCAACACCCACACTTGTACCTCTCGTATTGTTGTCAAGTTTAAGCGACCATTCGCTCCACTAGGGATTCTGTGATTCGGGTTGGCCGTTTCGCAACATGTTCCAGCGCATTCAATAGGACACCGTTGGGGTAGCGCCAGCACCAGGGCAGGCGAGGCTCGCCATCTCCCCTAGCCCCTCACTCTGTCGGCCGATGCTATCGGACAACAGCCGGGCTCCCTTCCATCCTGTACATTCAAGTACTGTACTGTAGCTCTCGTGGAAGCACCACGTAGGACTGACAGGCCCACCGCAGAATGCTGCATGAACCGGGTAGGCGGATGGAGTCAGTAGTCCACGGTAGTTTGCAGGGACCGGTTGCTGGACTTAGTCTCCATGCAATGCATGCCATAGATACATACGGACGGAGACCTCGTCGCGTCATCTGGGAGACCCCTTGCTCTGGCCTGCTCCATCATCCCCATCTGATGTGTCCACCCGCCTGTACACAAAGTACTGGGAGCGTTCTCACATGTACTCTGTACCCATAGTTGTAAAGTTTGCTGGTTAGTTCATCTTCTCTCCCATACCATGAGCATGGGTGGCATGGACCGTGAAAGATCTGGCTTCTCTCCCAAGGCATGTTCCGCGGGATGGGAGCCGCTCTAGTATCGCGGTGTACAAGTAGCACGTAATTTCTCAGCCCCAACTAGGCGCAAAAAGCAGCCCGCAAGATATAGCGCGTCCAGATTAAGAAAAAAGGAAGAAGAAAAAGAAAAGAAGAAGAAGAAAATTTGATGGATATTTTTGTGGCGCTGCACTACCCTGATTGCTGGCCATCGCCCCTTTGTGACAAAGCTTGCTTACACTGAGCCAGCCCATGAGCGCAAGGCTCTGTGCCTTTCAGGAGATGCTGTACCGTTGTTGTAAAATCACCAAAGAGTCGCAGCCTGGCTGAGCTAAAACTAGGGACGGGCCGCCGAAGTAAAGAACTTTATGGGTTGAGTTGGCGTCATAGTTTCTGCTCTCGCTGTAGCTGCGGTTCGTTAAGTTCCTGTCGATGGTTGGTGCCTGCGCTAGAAAGCAAGACAGCTTGCATGTGCATCGTACCATTCATCCCAGCCGTGAATCATCCAAGAGCTTGTGATCAATCTCAAAACTTGCATGCCCTATACGGCGTACAGTATGCGCCATTCGTTTTGAACATCTACTACAAGTAGAACACCTACAGTACTAGGTTGACAAGAAGTACAGCGCCACGCCGGGGTTGGGCACCAGTAAGTCTCTGACCCCAAGGTCAAATTGGGCTGCTTGCCTTGTGACGACCACCTGACCGCTAGTGATCCAGAATCGCCAGCTGAAAAAGGACCTTGTAATAGACTAAGAGCATTCCGCACATGCCTTGTCCTTGCTAGTGTAGTGCTAACGATAGTACAGAGCAGCGGCATTGGGTTGTTAGGGGAGCTCAGACGATGCCCGATCACCGTCACCCCCCTTACGGAAGAAGGGCTCCAGAAATCAGCCACTCATATCGGCGCTTCGTCATGATGTTATCCCTTCGTGACGGGTGACGATGCAAGCCATCGATTCGCAAGACTGTGAAAGAAGCTCCGCTTCTCTTATATCCTAGTCGACCTCATTTCTCGTCTCATTTCGTCTTTAAATTGACCAGGCGGCTAGCAATGCTAGCGTTATAATACAAGTAGAGCGTACAGCGCCTCGCCGTGTTCTTCAGCTCTACTCTGCGAATCCCTGAAACTATACACATCGATATATAGTAATTGCAGGTAACAGTACTAGTTGAAGTAGGTACTAGCTCTTGTATTCTGTAAAACAGCGTGTGAGCAATGGTAAGATTGCTTCAATGAAAATGGTCAGTATGCGAAGTACTATGTACAGAAAGTGGCATTGCCTACTCCACATACCAGAAGCCCAGATTGGCCAGAAATGAAAAGCTCTTTGAGCGCGATAATGGCCAAATTTGGTCTTCATTGGTACTCCAGTTTCTGAATGCGGGTCTTCGTGTGAATCTCGCCGCTGATAAGTATTTTTGCGGTCGTAGTAGGTATAAGATGTAAGTCGACATCCACAGCGTCTCCCTGCCCGTCGCCACAGCGTAATGGGACAAGTGCGATTGTAGGCAAATACTACCGCCGTTGAATGCAATCAGCGCCCAATGCATCCTGATGCATCCCCCCTCCCCCCGGAAGTTTTTCTCAGCAGTTCCGCATCGGACTGGCAAGTAGGTAAAGGCATCCCGCTGCAAATACCACAGAGCCGGGTCAGGTGTAAGACAGCGTCAACGCGCATGTGTGCAAGTGCATGTGGCGAGGGACGGCCGCATAATAGGCCTCGAGGGGAACGTATCTCGGCAGGACAAGTTGGGATTTGAGCCCTTGGCCCCCGCGTCGAGAGACCATGGCAGGGCCCGGGAGTCAGGGACGGGCGTGGAAGCTAGTCGAGGCCGTGCATGTGCGATGCGTGATGGACACTACTAGCCGCCCTGGCGTTCTGGTTGGAGCCAATAACATGTTAAGCACCCGCAGAGACGGGGTCCTGCTCTATCCAGTAAGCAAACTTGGCGATGCTTCCCTAGAAAGTAGCGTGTGAGCATGGCACATTATCACGGCCAACGCATACACACATACTGCTAGTAATGGTACGTACCTACTCCATATCGGCTTAAGCATACCTAGGTAGCCTGGAGGGGAGTGCCGTTGCTGGTGTGAAATCAAATGACGGCATGAAGTGCTTTAAAATTAAGAGAGAGTGATAGAATTTGCGATTGTACACATCGTACTCCGTGCACAATACTTCTTCTCATCTCACTGCTCTTAGCTGCGTTGTGCGCCTTTGTAGTTTCGTCCTTGTTTTCCCGTCCTTGTATTTCGTATGTTATTGCTACAATAGACCGATCGTCGCACTCTATTTAGTCAAAGGCCAAAAACCAGGGCAACCCGGAGTTGCCTGTACGAGATAGCGTGAGAGTTTTTGAGGTGCATTAGCATGAACATACCTATTGCTCGGAGCGGCGGCGGTTTTACTCTGGATCAACAAAAGACAGAGTACCGACACAAACTAGTAATAAGTACTCCGTAAGCAAGATGAGAAAAGGAAACAAACGATAGATTTGAGCTTTATGACGTATCGCCTTCGAGTGAGCGTCAATTGGCAAGAGTGGTACAGGGACTCCAAGTACTAACAAGGATATAGAAATGCCTGGCATCAGGGCGGGGCATTCTAGTCTGTGCAAGTGAGATCATCCCATTCAATCGTAAAGCCTTATTGCCGATTAAATTGGTGGTTGGGGTGGTTGGCCGCCTACAACTAAGTGATGACCCTTCAGTTGAGCGGTGATGACGAGCGAGACCGGCGTACTTTGCGCAAGCAGGCAAATCCTTCGAGACTTAACCAGGACTCCTTCGTATGCATGTTCCAAGCCAGCCGCCACCGATTTCGATTGAGAGACATGCATTAAGTACTCCGTACCATCGGCTGCTTGGTAGCAGCAGGCTGGGGCCGAAAGTGAGAAAGTTGCATTAGAACATGGAGTGTCCGAGACATGGCAGAGGCTTCCTTTGTCTGGCTTCGCCAAGTGAGTTGCAGAAGTACCGATACCAGTATAAGTGCCTGCGACGTGGCCAATGCGAGATTACATGAAAAGGGAAAGGGTTCGAACGGTATCTTATTTCCTTTGGAACGTAAGAGACAGCCTGCACTG